TTCAAATCTCAAAAAAATGTCCAAATTGTGCCCTTTTTCAAAAGTCTTAAATATGCTCCAATGGAAATATTATATTGGGAAAGGAGGGTATTGTATCCAGGAAGAATGATAATAAATGAAAAAATCACCCCAGAAATTATTTGGACCTCAGTATCCAGCCTCAAATCCACAAGGTGAATTTGATAGCACTCCTCTTCCCTGTTTTTTTCCACTGTGAGACTGATTAATGTCTCCTTCCATACCAGTTTTAAAACTATCTGGTAGTTATTTTATCATAATTTTCATTTTATTATCATTTCTCCAGCATACCATACTCCCAATTTCCAATTTTCATTTTTTCATTTGGAGCAATATTGAGACTTTTGAAAAAAGTGCAATAATTGTAATATTTTTTGCAAATTTTAAAAATCAGTTTTTCATATTTTTGTTTTCAAAATCATTTTTTGAAACCTCTTTTATACCACTTTCCCAAGTCTTGTGATTGCAAGTTGGTGGGTTAGGGCTGTGTAATCCAAACAAGTTGGCTATATACATCTGGGAGGGCACTGTACATACCATCCTGTCCAGAACAAGTGCTGTAATGCTTTTCTCTCCTGCCTGTTTTTCCCCAGCAGATCAAGTTGTACTAGTCCTTCTCCAATAATTAGTTTCCAATTAATCTTACTCTTTCCCTCTTATGCTCTCAAAAAATTATTTCACTTCCTGAAACCATGTTCCCATCACAGCTTCTTACATAGAATAAGATTGCTTCGTTGAAAAGTCTTGTATCACCTTACTTTCAAAGGGTGACTTCCTTTGTGTGTGAATTTACCCCATTTCCCATGTGTAACTGTAAAAATGGGAGGTTAAATTACAGGTAATGTCCTCCCAAGACCTCTTTCTTCAATTGTTTTTATCTTTTTTTGTGTTTTTTTGTGTTTTTTTATCTTTTCTTTTGTGTTAATTTTTGTTATTTTTATTTTTTGCTTCTTTTTTTTATATTCATCTGATTGCGTTATTAGGCCTTTTTTTGTGGGTGTAATTCAAATAAAGTTACCAATCCATTTGTGACTACTTTACTTCTTTCACTTGTGATGTTCTTTTCAAGTTTCTCTAATTCTCATGACAGCTCCCACAGTATTTGAGTTTCTCACATGATTCTGGCACATAGTATGAGCAACCTTCTGTTTTGCAGCCCCAATAGGAGAACTTTGTACCCATTTCTTGGTAACAATTTTCACAGTTCCCCTTCCCGTCTTTAGATATTAATTGTGGAACACAGCCTGGAGCATGCTTAGCTATGATTTCTGAGCTCATATTTGGGATTGGTAGCTTCAGGTAACAGTGTTCCATGCAGATGTTGATCTGCCTTGTTGATCCAGGTTTTATTTTGTAGCAATTCTTACAAGCCAAGGCGCCTATTTTGTCCCTAATCATATTCCTACAGCCATCTTCACAAGGCCCACGCTCAACATGCCACACCACTTGATGGGATCTACAGTTCCCTGTGTGCCATGGCTGTTCTCCTGGGTTGGGGCAAGTGGGTATATCCAAGGGGCGCCATAAGCGGTCATCAGCTGTTGAAATTGTTCCAGTAGACATAGCTGAAACCATTGGAAATACTGTCTTGACCAAGATTGTGAAGGTTGATAAGATTATAATGGAGGCAGTGAAACACATTGGGAGTATATTTGCTTGATTGTAGTTTGCAAGGGAGGGTTTGAACTGGTGACCAATGGAATGATTGGGGAGCAGGTTTGAGAGAGGGAAGGATTAACCAACTAGACTACAGAGTCATGCTTGAAGAGGAAAAAAACAGTCTATTTGAGCTTCACAATCTTGCAGAGATCAAGGGCAAATCTTGGACTCCATCCAAGTCAAGAAGATGCTTAAAACTAATTTGTGCACAACTGCTACCTCTCTATGATGATCTTCTTTAATACTCTTCCACAAATTATAAAGTGTTCAAATTCACATGGTGAGGAAGCCTTGAGGGAAAAATGTGGTTTAGAAACTTCTACTGATGGCCCCGTGGGACCCGGGTACCAGTTGCTTTTTTGGCCAAAAGCCAGTACCAGGTGCCGCACCCAGCGCTGTCTGGCAGGTACCGGCGGTGTGGTGTGCTATGCCTGTTCCAATGCCAAAAGAATACAGAATAGGAGATAGTGACACACACTTATCATTCATTACAAGAGGAGGAACATTCATTATGTAGGACATACAACATCAGGATACGGTATACATATGTAGGTGTGGTGTGTGCATGGGTAGGTTATGTAATATGGGTTTATGTATTGTGTAATCAGTGGAAAAGAACATAAGACAGTTGATGAGGAGGGGAGAAGGAAGGTAGGCGGAGAGGCATGGACCCTGAAGAATGAACAAGGAAGGAAGTAAGCAAGTGTTTCATCTGATGTTCCATCTGTTGCTTCATCTGTTGAGATGAAACACAGAGCATTTGGAATGTGGATTTGGCTTCCAAGTCACAGATCTCATAAGACTGTATACTGTACTGGATTACTGTTTTGGAAGGTTTCAGCACATGCTACATGGCTTGGTTTCATAGCAACCAATGACATCATGCTGTGCAAGTGTGTGTCACCTGCAGCATAAATAACTCACAAGGAGTCCCCTGCAGCAGAATCCCTCACTCTTCATATAAAAGGAGAGCCTCTCTCCTCCAGGATTCTCTTTTCCCCATCAACCTGATGAGG